AGGTTCAGGTGAAGATCTGGGAACAGAAAACAAAATCTCGGTTGTCCCGGAGTTGAGAGTGCTAAGCACGTGGAGAGGGGGTGAGGGGTTAGGAAGCCCTAGTGCACAGACACAACTGAAGCTGAAGCAGGTCCCAATCAGGAAAGGAAGGATTATCACGAGTTGGGAAATATCCCAGGGTCTCTTCAACTTTTAAGTGCCGTAGTGAAAGGTTAGAAGATACGAGAATAGATAAATCATCAACAGTTAACAAACTTCATTTTTACTTTTTCCATTTTCTAAGCATGCCTTCTCATCAGAGGAGCATCATAAAAGTATGACCACAAGAAATAGCCTCACACAGCAAAATCAACACATGAAATCGGGTTAAATCCACTGTTAAACTTGGTGATTTCCCTACATCTTCCAGGTTGAAATGCCAAATGTTTTAATCCACTGTTCTTCATCTCCTTGTAATCACAACATAAATTTTTTAAAAAAATCCACTCATAAAAAGAAAAACAAAACCCTGTAAGTCCATTATATAATATTTATATGTAAGTTTATTATTTATTAGATACAAAATTTCAAAATGCCTTTGAATATATCCTTCTGTACTTTTAAAATATATGATAAACTATAAATATCTAATTTCTCTGAAACCCTTAGCTATAACTTGGGTAAAAAGATTTAAAATTGGAGTTTGTGGCACTGAAATATCCCAGAGTTAAGACAACTACATGTGAGATTTTTGCATGATTGTGAAGTTTATTCTTTCCCTTATCTGTGAATGTATTAAAAAGATATCTTGAAGACCTCAAAACTTATGAAAGATGCCAAGCAAAAAAATTCCCAAGGGAACAGCCTTCATTTCACTAACAATGTACCAAGCATCATCTATGAATTTTCCAAAGTCTTAGAAGTTATGGGGTGGGGGCACGATGCTCTAAATGGCTTATGGCCCGCCCCTACCTCCTCCCCCTCCCATACTCTGCCTATTTTTTTATATTTATTAATTAAAATAGAGATAATGATTCCATCTTAATGTGCTTGCACAGCCTCTATTTTAGAAGTGACAAGTTTAACCATGTTGAAATTCATAATACACTTTAAATAGAAAGATAAGTGCGAAGGAGATTTTTCAGAGAGGATAATGAGTCCTGTTTTTTTTTTCTCAAAAGTTATCAAATGTTCAATGCTTGCTCCTATCAATTAAAACTGAGAACATCTGAACAGGCCCTGCCTCTTGTGTTTATGGAGAAAGATTACACCTGTGCCTTTCCTCATCTTTATGACAAAAGCCCAATATTCTAAAGACTCACTCTTCTCTACTCTGTATATAACTAGACTCACAGAAACATGGGTTTGTGTTTTAGACCTCTCTGCTTCAGGCCATGATTCCACAAGACCACCACTGAGGACACTTAAGATTATGATTTCTTCTCCCACTGCTGGCAGGGGTCAGCTCCCTATCATTAGCTATATCATAAAAGAACTGTATTACTACTCCATATGTGGGCAGAACTGAGCAATAACTGAACACTCCACATCATTGTGAAAATGAAAAACGCCACTTTTTTGTCCCAATTTAGCATAACATCAGTGAAAATAATCTTTTGAAATGACAATGCACTCAGAAAACAGAACAGTGTTGTTATTACTCTATAAGTATATATTTAAACTGATCTGCCATCCTCAACTAGAACAGAAATTAGGGCTGTATGTAACAAATGAGTTCAGTCAATCCAATTTCTTTTGGTTACATTCTGTTCAATTACATGGATGCACTTACAACATTTCTTAAGTAGATGAAGTTCAGCTATGGTACCCATTTCTCAAGATCTCTAAGCTGCAAGATGTGAGCATGGTCCCCTCTCTCCTACATGAGTCTACTCAGGCTGGGTGCTGCACTGCTATTTCAAAGGCTGACCTATATACAGCAATATGCCAGCCATCCTGGTTGTTTGTATAAGAGATCCCTCACTTAGTTGCCATCACCAACATCTTCAGCATTGTTCTCATTCTTCTCTTGAAATAGGCTATGTGGGAATGGAGGCCAGTCTGCACAGTGATCTGTTCAGAATATATCAGGCTGCTACAACTAACAGAGCAATTTGAGTTCAAAATGTTGTCCCTAAATTCCTGCTACAGAGTTTACTGAAATGGAAAAATGTAAGTAGTGTTTTGGTAGTCTCTAACACAAGGTGGTGCTGGGAAAAGTCAGCATAGTAAAACAATCAGATGTGAGACTAGAAGAGCTTTGGGGAGAGGGTACTCACTTTCCAATAGTCTTTTCTGATGTTGAAAGTACTTCAAGAACTGTAAGTAAAATTGCATGAAACTGACAAGCACAGAAAGAAGGTTCCACTGGGGTCTAGCATATCAACTTTAACCAGGAAACTGTTGATAGGTTTAAAACAAATTAATAATTTATGATCTTATTACTCTATTCTAAACAAAACATTTCTTCTAATAAATGGACCAAGTGTTTCTTCTAATAAACAATGCGATCATCACATAGCTGAAGGAGAGACAAGGTTTAGTTGCAACCTTGCCTCTTTGTAAAGTCTCATCCAACTTGTTTTTAACCAAATGTTGAGGCAGATTTCTTAGTGCCTCCAAACTTCTCCCATCCTTCCATATTCCTGAAAATACACTTGAGTCGTCACACACACACACACATTTTAGTTGACAGTTTTGGAAGCAATGGAAAGTGTAGATCTGGACAGAAATCCTGTAAGGACTCAAACCACCAGAGAGGAGGCTTTGAAGGCCTAGCACAGCTCCCCGATCCCTTAACATAATCAGGAATCATGACAAATATATCCAGATGAACAGGAGAAGGCGTTCTGGGAGAAACATTTACATCAAGTCTTTTCCTTCCACTAGAAGCATGTCTTATGACTTTGCATTTTTAAAAATCCATTATTCCCTGGGTAAGTTAAATAGAAGACTTGCAACCAGCCTATAGAAAGGGTAGTTAATTTGCATCTAAAAAGAACAGTTTGCTCCTTCATACATGGTGTGACTTAAAAGGAACTTCAACGAACTAGGAAAAAAATTCTGAAGACTTTCTAAATTAATTTATTCCATTCACAGCACAACCCAGCAAAATTATTTAAAGTACTTAATTGGAAATGATTTAATATAGTTAAGTAATTCCTGATTTTCCAAAGCATTTAACTTTTAAATTAAATCTGACCCTAGTATCACAAGAATGACAAGTGAAATGTGTATCCAAGCCATTAACTTCTTTCTGGAGCCTAAAATCACTGATAAATTTAATAAGATTTGTCTAGTTTGAGCGCCAAAATGGTTCTGACCCTTTTCTCCCCTTCAGGCTGGGAAATATACACGTCTTTGCCAGTCTGTATTAATAATACAATGTTTGTGTTAGAAGCAAAAGGAAATGTTGACAAATACATAATGCTTGTTTACAAAGGAAAAAGAGGTTGTAGTCCAAAAGAACTATGTCGCTCACAAATAATGAAACTTCATCATCAACTCCTCTCTGTTCTTTCCAGACTTCCCATGTACCTTTCCACACACCCAGAGCTAAAGGATGCCTGCCCGAGAAAAAGCCCTTCTGCACTAACTAAAAGGTACCCCTCTTTGCAAACTTGTAGACATCTACTAGCGGCACGCAGCGCTTCCCAGATCCTGGGTTTGGCACTGCACGCAGTCCTACATAGCTTCTCTAAGGGGTGGTGTATGTGGTTCAGAGGTGTGTGTGTGTGTGTGTGTGTGTGTGTGTGTGTGTGTGTGTGTGTGTGTTCTGACTGACGTGTGTGTGTGTGTGTGTGTGTGTGTGTGTGTGTGTTCTGACTGACCAAGACTGGGGTGGCTAGTACCTCGGTCCCATGGTAGAAAGCCCGAAAGCCTGGGGACCTCGTGCACTAAATACCTCTGTGTCACGTTTTTGTTGGGGGAAAAAAATGCTGTTGATGATGACTGGCCACAAGGCAAATGCTCAGAGCACCAGTGATTCCTCCTGCGGAACTCTCGGTGGGGCTGGGATGGCAGCGCCCTTAGGGGCTTGACAGGCAGGTTTACCCGGAGCCAAAGCAGAGGATCAGAGAATTCAATGGTGCTCCGCTGCATCCAGCCAGCGGTGCTGTTTAGACTTGTCCAACAAGGCTGAGGAAAGACCCACCGATGCCCGGGGTTGCTGTCTAAGGTAGACCCTGCGCGCCCTCCTTCTCGAGGTTGAGAGTTCGAGACTTCCCTGGAGTAACTCCATTTATAAGCTCCTTCCCAAAGGCCCTCTAGCAGCAGCCATGGCCGGTGCCCCCATTCGGGCCATTGTTGGCGTTGCCAGCCTGACCCTGGGTCCCCGCGGCACCAGCACCCGAGCACCTCCGGGGAGCGGACAGTCCAGGCCAGCTCAGGTCCTGGGTCAAGTGTGAGAGCCATGCACGTGAACACTTCGCTCTTCCCTGAGGCTCTCAACAAACTTGCTCTTCCTGCGCGCCCCAGGGAAAGGAGGGCGGTTCCCCAAACTCTAAACCCACAGCCCCACCACGGCGCCCTGGCGTGAAAACACCCGGCTCGGCTCTCGGCCCCATTGGGGGAAACAAAAGAGTTTGTAAGCAATTTTCCCCAAGAGTGCAGGAGTGTGCCCGAGTCCCTGCACCTCAACTCCTAGCAACTCCCCTGGCAATGAATCCCAAGCGGAGAAACAGGGCCACGAGGCCACGCTGCCCGGGAACCCAAGAGACGGAGAGGGGAACCCTGGCAAAGAAACAGGGATGGATGGTCTTACTCTCTGCTTCCATTCCGGGACCCCAGACACACCCCCAAAGTCATCTTGGGCTCTTAAAAGCCCCCCACCACCCCCAGACAAGCCTAGGCAGGGGTCCTGAGGCGCCAACAGCAGGAAGGAAAGGATCCGAACAAATCGTGTCACTTTCCGCACCCGAGCGGGGCTCCCCGGGCGCCCGAAGCTCTAGCGGCCGCTGCGCCCCGCGCCTCCCGCCCGGCTCAGCGGCCGCCCCCGGCGCAAACAAAAGCAGAGCGTTCACCTTGTTGCAATAGTAGGGGTCCAGGCAGGGAGAGGGTCCCAGACAGGGTGCGTCGGGCGCAGCGGCGGGCTGGGCTGGAGGCGGGTAAAACCTCACGTCCATTTCACTCTCACATCCAGCAACTCCTTTTCTTTCTTGCTTTTCCTTTTTTTTTTTTTTTTTTTAAGTGTTCTGCAAAACAAGCTTAGATGGACCGGAGAGAGGTGTCTGGGCTCATGAGTAAAAGAAACACCTTCCTTCCCTCACATCCGTTTGTGGTTTGTTTAAGAAGAAGAGAGAGAAAAAAAAACAGCGCGGGGGGAAAGCGCTCCACTGGCCCGAGCGCGGCGCGCCCCCGCCGGCGCCGAGCGCGCAGCCCGCCCCGCTCCGGCCCCGGCCCCGGCCCCGCGGCCAGGTAACTTCACGCGCGCATTGTCCCCGCCCGCTCCTGCCGCGCAGCGCTAGGTGTCGGGCGCTTTATTGGAGTCTCTCTCCGAGTTGCTCTGCCTGGAGTTTATTTTCTCCACCTTGGAGGCTGGGAGGAGGGGGTGCGCGGGAGGAGGAGGACGGCGGCAGGGAGGGGGCGAGCAGCCGCGGCCGGGCGGAGTGGCGGGCTCGGCGGGACGCGGCCGGCTGGCGGCCCAATGGCGGCTCGGGGCCGGGGCCGCTGGAGGGAGGAGCGGAAGAGGAGCGGGCGAGCCGCGCGGCCAGGGTGGACGGGGTGCTGGGGCCGGGAGCTCGGCTGGCCGAGCCGCGCTCCGCGGGGTCAACGTGCTGCACACAAAGGGGCCGGCGAGCCCGGGGCCAGAGCGGCCTGGGGGCCCGGCCGGGAACGCGCAGCGAGGGGGCGCTGTGGCGCGCCCCGCCCCCGGCCCGCCCAGGCTGCTTCCCGCTCCTGCGCCCCTCCGCAGCGTGGCCACCCTCCAGCTGCGCCCCCTTCGTCCCCGCGCCCGGCCCAGGCTGCGCTGACTTTCCCCTAGCCCGCTGCTGCAGAGCACCGGGGTTTGGCCACCGCAGTCTGGAGGCCTTGTATCCCTAACCCCCACGTTGCGCTAAGTGGTCAGGAGCCCTCAGGACCAGATCTAGAAGGGGCTGGGCTGGGACAGTTGGCCCCTGGAGTTTCTCTCTAGCTTTCAGCGGATCACCTCTGGTGGTCTGTGCACTACTGGGGGCTTGCAGAGGCCATAGCTTTCTTTCAATACCAGACAGGTGACCCCAAAGCATATGTACAAGAAGGTGGGGAAGCAGGGAGTTTGATGGTTGCCCCTCATGGAGCTCATGTCTTTTTAGAATTGGACCTTAGCACTGCTGCTCATGGTGGGCCTAGAGGCCCTAGACTTGACCTCTTTTCACCTGTTGGTAAGTGGAATGGGAAAATCTCCAATTCTGCCTTCCTGTTCCTGTCCGCAAGACTGGAAACTTGTGACTTTGTGTCTCCTGCTGATTGAGACAGTTTGGGGGTTTCTTGGATGCTGCCAGCATATTTATTCCCAGTCCTCTATCCTTGGTCTGAAGCACAAGAAGTGGGTATTAATTCTTTACCTCCCCAGGAGTATCTCTGAGTGACACACTTTTCAATTACCCATTAACCCAAGGCTTGATTCCCCTAAATGGTCACTGAAAGAAAAGGCTTGAAGATCTCCTGTGAAGACCACAGCTAAGAAAACACTGTGGAACAGTTCTACTCTTTTAACATATGGGCTCACTATGAGTAGGGATTGACTAGAAGATGGTGAGTTTCATTTTTATGTTTGATTTTAACTTACATAGTGACAACCTTTTGAATAATGAACCAAGATCCACTTAGAGAGCCAGAAGAACTTCATCTATATCACTTTCCTCTGGTACTAATAACATTTGACCACTCACGCACCATCCTAGTTGATTGCCAACTGCTCTGCAAAAACTTTCCCATAGGTGGATTGTGTCCCCTGAAATTGAGTGTACAAACCACACACACAAGTAGAGGGATTTGGAGGCAGCATATGAAATTATAAAGTAACGTTGGTAGTGTATGCCCTTTCTTTAGGAACCATTGGTTTGCAGTACACTCCCATATGTCATCTTCCTCTTAAGACATTGTTTGCTTCCCTTCAACTTAAGTAGCAAAGGTGTAGCTTTCTCTTTACATTCATGATTATAATGGTAGGAGGATGGTGAAGGAAGCGAGAGATGGAGGGATTTACTTTTAACTGGATTCAGAGTAGTCTCTATTCTCAAAAGTTCTTCAAGGCACAAAAATAAGAAATCAAAATTTGCTGTCTCTCTGAATAAAGGCCATTATCATAAAAGACAAATGAAGTTCTGTGGTTTGTAACCTCAGCTTTCAAAATTCAGTAGTGCATATTTAAATGTGCCCATGTGTATTTCTTTGCATAATAAAATGAAAGAAACAAAACCTAGGATTACATCAAATGGTTAGCAGCTTAAATTTCTCTTTTAATTCAACATTTATTGCTAAAATATTATTTCACAAATTGATTTTTTTAAAATTCCCTTAGAATTCATAACAGATTACATCTGGAACGGGATAGGAGAAGAAGAAAGATGGCAGACCTTGTCTAAGCCACATACTGCAAGGGCTCTTCAACTCCCAGGAATTTGTTTGCGTTGGGAATGGCAGGGTCTGGAAAAATAACTTTTGTACAGAGTCTTACAGGTTACCTGCATAGCCAGGTCTCTCCACCTTACAGAATAAACTTGGACCCAGATGTGCACAAAGTTCCTTTTCCTGCCCATATTGATATTAGTGAGACTGTGAAGTATAAAGAAGCCATTACACAATATGGACTTTGGCCTAATGGTAGTATTGTGACCTCATTCAATCTTTTCACTACTAGATTTGACCAGGTATTGATATTTATTGAGAAAGTCCAGAACAAGTCTAAATATGTCTTGATTAACACACCTGGACAGATTAAGTTATTTACCTAGTCAACTCCTGACATAATCCTTAAAGCCCTTGCAGCCTTATTTCCAACATTTATTATCTATGTAATGTACAAATCAAGAAATACCAACCCAGTGACCTTCAAGTCCAATATGTTCTATATGTGCAGCTTCTTCTGTAAAACTAAACTGCCTTTCATTGTGGTTAGAATAAAATAAGTGGATACCCCGCAAAAATGTGATAGGAAATGGTTCAGGAGTAAAATATGTCATTAGCAACATCTTAAAATTTGGGAGAAGGTATGATGTTTGTTTTTTGCTCCACCTCCCTAGCACTTTCTCCTTCTATGTAATGTGCTACTCTAAGTCCAACATATATTGAATTGGTATACATATTTCTAGTAGTAACAATTCGTAGCTGGGGAAAACCTCCAGGTGGCTCTTACTAATTTTGAAAAATTAATTCTGGAAAATCTTTGCATTACTATCATTTTCCAGGATGTACAACTCCATATCTTAGCTGCATTTAATCCTCTATTTATTATTTCACTCATTGACTGTACATTATACAACAAAAACATATTGAGCAATGTAAAACATTTATATACTGTGTCTAAGTTTATAATATAAAAACAAAAGTTGTTGTTTGGTTTGTTTTCATAAACTATCCCTGCTTTAGATAAATTTAACATCTTTTTAGTGATAAATGGAAACAAATTGAACTTTCTTGTTTTTGTCATTGAGTTGACTGCTGTTCATAATAGTCCTGTGAACAACAGAACTGAAATTTATCCTATCCTGTCCCATCCTCCAAAATGTAAGCCATTGTTAACAGTTACTGTACAAATCCATCTTGTTGAGGAGCTTCCTTTCTTTCTGTGAGTCTCAACCTTTTCCAACATGATGTCCACCAAAGACTAGTCTCTGCTAAGAAATTATTCATGCCTGGCCTTTCTCCCCCAAAGCAGAGCAACTACACTAGTGTTAAGACAATTCTGCCTCATAACAACTTTGTAAGACTGGGTAGAACTGCCCCATTGAATTTTCAAGCTTCCCTAAATCTTTACAGAAGCAGACTCCCTCATTGTTCTCTTGAGGAGAAGCTGGTGGGTTTAAACCACCAACCTTTTGGTTAGTAACAAGGCGTGTATTTATCTCCTGTACCACAAGGGCACCAGGGCTCCAAATCCTACACTCAATTGTTATAGGTACCTCCTTGTGGATTCCAACATAGAGTTACGTTGTTGTTGTTGTTGTTGTTGTTGTTGTTGTTGTTGTGTGCCGTCGAGTCATTTGCAACTCATAGCGACCCTATGTACCAGAGCCCTAAACCCTGCTCTATCCTGTGCCAAACGCATTGCCTCTGACACACCCATCCCGATTACCCCAGTCACTGAATCAATCCACCTCATAGAGGGTCTTCCCCTCCTGCGCTGTCCCTCCATCCTCCCAAGCATGATGTCCCGCTCCAAGGACCTGTCTCTCCTTACAACATGTCCAAAGTATGTCAGACGAAGCCCCAGAATCCTTGCCTCCAAGGAGTAGCCTGGTTTAACCCTCTCTAGGATGAATCTGTTTGTTTTCTTGGCAGTCCATGGAACATTCAATACTCTTCTGCAGCACCACAGCTCAAAGGCGTCAATTCTCCTATCCTCCCTAGTCATTGTCCAACTCTCTGATGCATAACAAGTGATTGCAAAAACCATGGCCTGTATCAGGCGCACCTTAGTTTCCAGAGAGACACCGTTGCTCTTGAGTACTTTAGAGAGGTCCCTAACCACAGACTTTCCCATCGCAATACGTTTTTTTATTTCCTGGCTACTGGTGCCAAGAGTGTTGACCGTGGAGCCGAGCAAACTGAAGCTGTGAACAATCTCAATCTCTTCGCCATCCATCCTGATGCTACCGATTGGTCCAGTGGTGAGAATTTTTGTCTTCTTGATATTGAGCCTCAGTCCATACTGAAGGCTGCAGTCCTTTACCCTCTGCAGTAAGTGCATGAGGTTCTCCTCAGTTTCAGCGAGCAGGGTTGTGTCATCTGCCTAACGCAGACTGTTGATAAATCTTCCACCAATCCTAACGCCACACTTCTCCTCATAGAGTTACCTTAAGTATAACAAAATGTAGTGTTACTCACAGCACCAGCATATATCAGCCCATCCTCACAGCTGTTTGTGTCAGTCACCTCATCCCAAATGTACACAATTTTAATCCATCAGTACTCCATAGGTTAAGAATGG